CCTCATAGGTAAAAACTAATGTTAATCAAGACATATTCAGGTCATAAGACCCACTAGTCCCCGTCTCAACACTGGATGACCTGACGTTGCATCAGGTCAGGTTAGTAACATGACGCAATAATCTCCCACCCAACCTTCATCACAAGTATTAAGACTTGATTAGTTATGTATTACAGTCAGTTGAGTGAAGTGTGTAACAGAGACTTGACGATCGCCCAAGCGACTAACGAGCCGATCAATAGTGAAGATAAAAGAAACGGTTCTGTCCATGCCTGTATCATGTAGAACTTTTGTTTGTTTTAAATATATTTATTTAAACAAACTTTTTCATATAAAGTATTGAGGATTATTTTGATAAAAAATATGGTGTCTAACGAAATTAGAACTGATTTTACTGACTCCATTATCAACATTTCTTAATTTTTTTTTATAAAAAATTGGATTTCCATCACAATATCACACAGAAATATTTTGTTTAGGGATTTCTTATTGGAAACGTTTCATAGAGAATTTATTAAAGATCATTATGGTATCAAATTCAACTCCCTATCACAATTAGCCCCGCTGTGGGGAAGGCGGGAGGGGGGGGGACCGACCGTGTGACCTCCCCCCTCACCCCCAAGAAAGGTTAGCGCCCACACTCTTCAGCCAAACATTACACACCCACTACTGTAGTATGATCACACCCACACACTCCAACAACCAGCCACACACACACACTCTCCCCACATACCCACACGCACTCCAGCACCACTCACATACCAAGAAGAAGGGAATTAAGACAGCAGACATAAGGAGTGAGGGTCTTATTGTGTGACAAATTTACGTGTGTGTGACTGCTAGTTATATATCAGCTGTTGAGGAGTGCTTGGCAACACTCCTTTCCACTCCATCTCTCTCATCACCCACACCTTTCTGCTTTCTCACTCCATATTTTAAAATGTTATGTAATGTAATGTTGAAGGGATACAACTTTGTTCATTTATACTTACACTTATCACATTCTCTCTACAAATACTTTAGGTTTCGTGTTTATTCAAGACATCTTCAGGTACACGAGACCCACTAATCCCCACAGGTCCATGGGAGTGGAAAATAGCAGTCTTTATTGTAAGACAGTTTCATTCATGCCCATACCATATACGGTAGATTATTAATTTTCAAATATATTTATTTTACCAAACTTTTAGATAAACTATCCTGGATTATTCTGGTAAAGAAATGAAGTTTCTAGCTTAATTACTGTAGAACTGTATTTACGGACTCTGATAGCTTAGACTCAAGGAAAACATCCCCAGCACCCAGAAAAGTTCTGGGGAAGTGGGCTAGTGTGCGTTGGTGCAAGAGGTTTAGTTTAGACACTCGGAAACTTTTCCCAGTAACCGTAAAAGGTTCCGGGGATAGGGAATTTTTACGGGTTTGAGAAAGTCGTCTGGTTACCCGAAATTCTCTCATCCCAGGAAGTGCTCTGCACCAATTGTTCCGGCTAAAGGGGATGTCACTCAGATCAGACAACAATGACCCTAAATGGATAAATAACTATTTAAAGAATATTATTGGACAAAGGAAGGCTATAGGTAGGAGAATAAATTGTGGTGAAGTTTACCTCCAAGATTATTATAAGGTATTGGCCAGTAGGGTTAAGACCGAGATAAGAATAGCAAAGAGGAATAATGAACTGAAGGTAGCAAGGGTGGCGAAGTCAAACCCCAAGGGATTCTTTCAAATGTGTCAAACTAAAACACGAGAAAAGATTGGACCAATACAGTCAGATGCCGGCGAGCTAACTGATAACAACGGAGAAATAAGCAACAATCTTAATTAATATTTTTCAACAGTTTTCACAACCAAAAATTTAAACATGATACTCGAGGCACCGACTATACACAGAGATACTTTAGAAAATGAAATAAGCGAGATAGTAGTAACTAGTAACGACATTAGTAAACAAATAGACAAGTTAAAGCCTAATAAGTCACCAGATCCCGATGAGATATTTGCCAGAGTATTAAAGGAATGTAAGGAAGAGCTTAGTATGCCGTTAACAAAGTTGTTTAACATGACATTAAAAAAGGTGTAGTACCAGAATCCTGGAGGATAGCGAATGTAATACCAACTTTCAAGAAGGGAGATA